CCTTGGCAGTCAGAGATGTGGGGTGTGTGTGTGAGGCAGGATAGGCAAGGATGGATAAGCAGCATTTCTAGAAGCCCAAGCAGAGGTAGCCAGCGTTTGATAGCAACAACCACACAGTACTAGTCTTCACGATGGTAAAGATAATAATAACAATAAAAATAATAACAATTGCCCTTAATAATGATGATGATATCATCATTATTATTATTATTATTATTATTATTATTGTTCTTATAATTAAATAATGATAACAAAGATAGTACTAACAATAATATTAACAATAATGATAATAAAAATGATAATGGTGATATTAAAATAGATAATAATAATAATAATAATAATGATAATTATAATCATCATCATCATCATCATCATCATGATAATAATAACAATAATAATAATAATAATTTGATAATAGGAATAATAATAATGATAGTAATAACAACTATTATAATGATAATATTATTAATAATAAAGATAATAATAACAGTGATGTTGAAAATGATCATAATCATAATAATAATGATGATACCGAGAAAAGATATTTGTTATGATAATAATAATGATAATAGCAATGATAATGATAAAACAAAAATGAGAAAAGTACCAAATTCCACTGAAAATTGTACCGTTGACGAAATCCAAAATTCCTGGAAAGACCTCGAGCTCCCAAGATATCTCCAGGACAGTTTCAAGGCAAACTCATTCAGCCCTATGGAAATATCTATGGCAACTTCATAAAAGTTCCACACCAACACTAGGCCAGTTCCATGTCCGCTCCGTAACGAGTCAAGGGACAGTTTCATGGCAATCAGCATTTCTTGGGTTGTGTTTGCGAGCATGAACGGCGAACCCTGGCAGATATAAACAGATGCCTTTTCCGAATCCTGTTTTCTGTTTTCTTAGCATATTGGAAGCTCTTTGTTATATAAAAACATCACTCCATCCCTACAGTTCTTTCTCTACTACACCATGGTATATACTGCAAAAAGAAATGTGTTGTCGGAGGTTTTCTTAGTAAAAAAAAAGAAAAAGAAAGTCAGAAGTTTTCGTCGGTAGCTAATAATTTGTTTCGAAGAAATGCGGTCTGTCATTCAGTTTAGTTTATTTATTTACCATGTAATCTAATATTTATGTTGAAGTGGCCCTGAACCTGAAGTGTTCCCCCCCACCAAGGCCTTCCTGTAATCTGTCAGTCTATCTCTGTCTCTCCTTTTCTCAATCTTGTGTGGATTAGCAACTGTGTCCGTAAATTTGCAGTAAATACTTGGTTTTTGCTTTTCCGTTTCTCTCTACAATGAAATTAACGTTTGTTTAGAAATTCAGGACAAGCAACATGCCAACATGGACTGAATGACATATTTTTAATTCCATAATCATTCGTTAAAAAAAGACAATGATAGTGAATTCATACAAAAAAAAAAATGCAAGAATACTACACTCGTATCCTCACATACACCTGAAATTCAGATGATCCTTATTCCATAGCATGGTTCACGAGCACAGCCTCCTCCGTATCCTGGCAGATGCGCCTGATTGTCTGAACAATCTCTTGCAGGTGCAGAATGAACATCGGAAGTGCGTCGCCGTCGCTGCCCGAGAACAGGGCGAGGCACTGATCCTCCAGCACGGACTTCCAGTACAGCAGGTGCCATCGGGCGTCCATAGCGAATCTGCGAGCGCCGGCGTCCTCCGGAGAGAGGCTGCTGGAGTGGGGGGGGAGAGGGGGGCTCACGGAGGGAGTGGCGAGGGACGAGCCGGGGACGTCGCCGAAGAGATGACCCGGGTCCTGGGAGAGGGACGACTCTAAGGCCGCCAGCGCCGCGTCCAGGGAGGGGACACCCGCCGCTGCCACGTCCTTCAGGGTCTCCTCAGAAGTCCTTGGAGAAGGGCGATCCTTCGCATCGCCTGTGGGCGAAGACCAGTTAATGGCTCGGAAGACAATCGCTCACATCTGGCTCTCTCACACCTTTGTTTTCCCTCTCTCTCTCTCTCTCTCTCTCTCTCTCTCTCTCTCTCTCTCTCTCTCTCTCTCTCTCTCTCTCTCTCTCTCTCTCTCTGTCCCTTCCTTCCTTCCTTCCTCCCTCCCTCCCCCCCTATCCCTGCCCCTCTCTCCCTAACAAAAATGATGATAATAATAATAGTAATTATTATAATAATGATAATGATTACAATAATAATAATAGCAATAAAAATAATGATAATAATAATCATAAAAGTAATGATAATAATAATAACAATAATGATAGTAACAATAATGATAATAATAATGCTACTAAAATAATAATGAATAATAGTAGCAATAAACAACAACAATATTATACTAATAAATAACGATAATAACAATAAACAGCAACAACAATAATGATAATAATCATAATAATGATAGACAATAAAATAATTTACTTTGTTTCATAACTCAATAAAGATAAAAGCAGTAGTGAAAGTGGCCTGTCACGAAAGATAAGATACGGGACGAGTCGCCATAAAACGAAGAGAA